CTTTGCCTGAATTTGTGCTTCCTTTATTTCGTTTATTCTGAATTCAACTTCAAAATTAGAATTAGAGTGAATACTTGGTTAACCCCGCTAGCAGGGTAAAAGAAAATGCTTGAATTGCATTCAATGGTAGGTGTTGTTGTTATTCACAATATATTTATATAACATGTTGTTCTCACTTTCAAATAGAATGATCTTCCTTTTGCTGTCAAAAGCAGGGCTGAGTGGATGTGCAATGTCTTGGGGATTTGATTTCTGATTGCTGCTGCTTCAGGACTCTATCTGGCTTCCAGTTTGAAATCCTTATACTATCGTCGCTATGTCTAATCTTTGTGTTTTATATATAAACATAATGCTATGTATCACAACCATTTAGATCATTTTCCATTCCCAATATGTCCACATTTTAGAGTTCTTTTTTTGTTTTTCTGTAACCGTATACCTTGGGACGTCATTTTCCTTATTGTAATTTATCCTTCACGTTGATGATGCTTCATATGGTATGGACATCAATTGAAATCAGCAACCATTTGTATGAGGCATCACTGCTACCGGCCAACTTATTAAATTTTCTATTCCAAAATCTTGATTACGAGCAGTGTAAGCTTTTGAATACGAAATAACCGCAGGTTGTCATTCTGGGCAGATTAGCAAGTCCTTTGCCCAGTGTTAGAGTAGAGATACAAAAGTCAGTTTAAGTGTAGAATTTTCCCAGGTAGTTTTCAGCTTAGCTGCTAGGGACAGGCATGGCAAACTATGTCTTGGTCAGACCAAAAGTTGAACCTCAGTGAAAATCAGGCAACATATTTTCTAGTAGGATAAAGAGTTGCTGATGAATATAAAGATGGGTTATCTGATGAAGATGAAGATCTCTGTCCCGTTGAATGTGTAGAGAATTCACCACTGATGAAGAGTTCAGCAAAATTCTGGAGAAGTCTAAAGGACTGGATCTTTGGTGGTGGTAGATTTCTTCCGCACTCTTGTGGAAGCTGCAAGTATATAGAGCAGGGTTTTGCAAAGTTGGCAAGAAATCTGGCGTCATGAAGTCCGGTAATCGTTTCTAAAGCATAATGTAAGTATCTGTTTCCTCCATATAGCAGACAAATATTAGTTGTCTATATTCTGTACAACAGTTTATTTAGTATTAATTTTTCCATACGGTAAATATTATACACATTAATAATCAAAACATTTCAATATTGATTTTTAAAAGTAATATGTAACGGCAACAAGTTTATGACACGATAACATGTAATTGGAGACAGTGTCATTACACCCTGCACTACTCGCTCTATGTTATTATTATTATTTTTCAGGTCCTATAGATTTTCTTTTGAGTAACATTGTATATGTGACCATTGATGAATGATCTCTATTGTGATAATAAAATATAATATTATGTCAAAACTACATGAGTGATAATTTAGAACTAGTTTATAGTGATATGTAAGTTCCGTACAGATAAAAGTGCATAAGTTAAAGTCTTTATTTGTGATGTGTGTGTTTCCTGTCTCCCTTTACAAACCTCTTTACAGTTTGCGGAGAAGAAATTCACGATCAGCTAATATTTACATTCTGAAAAAAGATTCATCATGATTTTTAGGAGCGTAAAATAAAAAATAATATATATATATATATATATATATATATATATATATATATATAACAGTTTTATCCTAAATTAAAATTAGTTCCTCTATAATCTATTTATAGAAATTATTTCATATTAAATTTTCCAAAATTTGATTTCTAATTTATACATACTAATTCTAATTTACAAAGGAATTGGGTGTTTTTTTTTTCTTCCATAGAAATTTATCCGACGAGAGCTTTTATCATTGTCACTCAAACTAGAGGCTTTATTTGATTAATTATTAGATTGAACATGTTAAAAGTTCATGTACAAAGACTATTACTACGCTATTGCTTGCAGGTAATGGACGAGTATGATGAGCAGTCCGAGGTTGCTGATCGACTTAGAATCAGGGTATATATTGATTACTGATTATCAAATGAAACTTAATCTTCATAAACTGACCTGGCTAAGCATCAATCATGGGTTAATCTAAATGTTTGCTGTCCAACTTCTTTTCAATGTTTAGTGGTTAGTGTCTCCATTTACACCATTTATCTAGTTAACTTTATTTAACTGGTGCACAATGTCATCTTAGTTTTGGTCCTCACCTCACTTTTATGGTTAATTCAATCTTCTTCCAATCGGCAATAGATATGTTGTGCATGATTTGTGCTACTGTGCATTCATGCTCTATAATACGATGAGTTTGAAAAGGAAACGAAATGATGCAGGCCGTGCCTCTTTTCCACTTCTACAAAGATGGCGTGCTGTTGGAAGCATTTCCAACCAGGGACAAAGAAAGGATTGTTGCAGCCATTCTCAAGTACTCATCTCTTGAAGCTGAAGATATCTTAGGTTAACTTCGAATAGGATGGGGTCATTGTCCCTGGGACGGTTGTGCACTGCAGGGAAATTAATCATTTTTTTGTAAGTGACAATGTTCATTAAACAGCATGCTGCATATATACTTATTACCAAAACACTTCAGTCCTTTCCTATCTGCTCGAGTTCACTTTGTTAGGACAGGATATTGCTTCCTAAGATCTAGTGAAGAGTTTATTGTTCACTATGATATACACCCTTTACTTTCGTAGAGGTTATATATAAATAAAGTTTTACTTATCTAGCTTTCATTATATTATTTATTTATTTTGTTTTTTATTGATAAAAAGTTAATTAAATTTATCAATTTTAAAAATGATAATTTTATACTTCTAATAATTAAATTCTAAAACTGCATTACAATATTGAAGTACAGTATTAGTTTTATAAATTAACATACATTGGTTATAAGTTGTAACTATATACTTATTAATAATAATTGATAATTGAGTGGAAAAAAATTACGTGGTTACGCTTTTGAAGATTAGAAAATTCAATAAATATTTTATTAATATGAAAATTAAATCAAATAAATAAATAATAGAAAAAAGGTAATTGAGACATTCCTATGCAAATTTTTTATTGTAGCGATTCACGTGACATTTCTTATATAAGATTTCTGCCGTATATAAATAGTAGTTTTTAAGAATTGAGATCATTATTACATGGATAAAAAAAGAACTATGATAACTACGTTTTTTTTTTAATTATTAAAGATTTATTATTGGGGAGAAAAAAATAATTAGTTATTGAGACAGCATTGTAGATTCTATTAAACACGAGTTAAACAACTTTTCTATAATGATTACAGATGTTCTAGAATGTTATCCGTCATTCACAAGTTAATTGAAAGTAAATATCTAATGGACAAAAATACATCTAATTGATATTACTCAGTATAGTCTTTAAAATTACAAACTTTATTGCATTACTTTTTAATGAAAAGTCAATATTTTATTTCAATAATCACATTATAATTAGCAAAATGAAGACTATGGTTGTTAAATTTAAATATTAGTTTTGATGGGCAACTAGGAATGACAAAAAAGTTCATCCGCGAATAAAACATGCGACGAATAGTTATTATTCGCAGATATTTATTACCCGCGGGGTAACAAGTAGCGGTATTTTAATATCCGCTTCTAAACGGGTCGGATGCGGGTATTATACTTGATAAGTATGAAAATTACATGTTTTATTCACTCAGCGCACCAGCACAACTTGTTGAGCGAATAAAGGACAATTAAAGATATATTACAGTTGAATATTCGCTTAGCGCATAAAGAGTTGTGCGCTTAGCAAATTAGTTATTTTTTTCAATTGGCTTTTAAAGTGGGAAATAGACAGAAAGAACTCCTGACAGAAGTCTGGACAAAGGAAAGAAACGAAAACATCTCATAAACTTTCGGAGACTACTTCAAGGCATCAAGACACCCTTGTTGCAAGGGATTGCTTCAAATGTGTACCTTCTAGATGTCTAGGAGTAGTTAAATTTTCCTTTCGTTGGAATTGGATGTAATGAACTCACTCTGATGTAATTTTCCTGTTCAATATATTGTTGTTCGTTCGTATGCTCTTTCTTGAATTTACTAACATTGTATGAAAATATAATGTTATTTGAATGTCTTTTATTATTGGAAAGTAACTTTGAACATGAATATAAATAGAGCACCTAAGTGATGGATAGACTCGATAACTTGGTCATTTTTAGCATCGAATTTAATGCAAATTGTATGTTAAATTGACTAGTTGCTAAGGTATTAGGACTAGTATGTCTTAATGTGAATGTTTAAATGAAATAATGATATATTGTACAGAGTTTCTTGTGTTGTTTTGTGCATTTTGATGTCTAATTGAGTTTCTTGTGGATTAGGACTAGTATGCCTTAATGTGAGTGTTTTGAGTTTTTTTGGATTTTAGTTCATTGATGCATATTGGATTTTTGAAGATCTTAGTGGTTATCACGATTTGGAGATTTATGTGATTACGTTCGTTTTCGAAATTTGGGTTTAGGGTTCCTATTTGCTTTCTCTTAGAAATTCTTTATCCCTATGTTTCATACATTGATAAGTATTTGTAGGTTAATTCTTTGACTAAATTGAGACTTGAGTATTTGTTTTCTTTAACTTGTTTAAAAAAACTTGTTTAAAAATTACATTGGATTTTTTTAATATGTAGCAAATATATTAAATTATTCTCTTTAACTTGTAATTTAGTTTAAACCTTACTTAAAAATTCATAAAATATATTTTTTAAATATTTGTGGGTTAAAAACGGGTATCCAATGAATATCCGCAGGTTGAAAAAAATCAACAGATTTTTTTATGAAAATATCGAACGGATAGTGGATAGGGTTACAGATACGGTTTTTTACATACAGGTCGGGTTGCGGATAGACACTATCCGTGCCCGACGTTGCCATCCCTGGCAACACCTAGTATTAAGTTTATTATAAAAGCAAAATTATTGTTTGTCTCCAAAACTATTAATCTGTTATTTATTTATTTTGAGGGAGGAAAGAGGGAGCTGTTTGCAACAGCAGAAGGCAGTTTTAAACAAATCATATAAACTTCATGAAATTTGGAGATTGTCTGCAGAATATTGTTAATTCATCTAGAGACTCTAAATTGACCTCAACTATAAATTACAAAAATAGTAGGGATCACAAAGAGAAATGATCAATCATTTGGCATTGAGCGGCCAATAATAAATAGCCACCCAATTCATGCAGAGACTGTAAATTGACCTCAACTATTTTCAAGACAAGAACTGGTGAGAACAATTCTATGCCCTTTTTCCATACGGATTTTCATGGACCTGCACTTCCGGTCCATATATCAAACGGCAACGCTCTGTAAATGAACCAACCATCTTAGAGGCTACCTCCTTAAAGAACATTGAAGCAATCTGATCACCATAAAAGAACATTTGATTAGCAATAACAAAATAAAAGTTCAAAATATAAATTACATAACTACAATCTCTGTAATCTAAAAAGTGTTGTGATGAAGTGAATTTTGTGTAGGTAATTGTATGAATACAAATGCAGATGCATGAGCATAGGAGGGAAAGCTATGCCATAATACTGGTAATGCTATTGAGCAGTAATTAAGCCTTCTCCAGTAGGCGAACGACATACAGGTTCAGTGCTAGAAAAGGTAAACTGACGACAACATAGGATGGATTTTTCAATCAAAGGTTAAAGACAAAATTTAAAAAGAAAGCTGTGGAGAACATATACATTATAACACAGTTATACCTGTCTGTAAAGTGGAGAGTGAAATTTAAAATCCACCAAGAAATAAAGATTGCAACTTCCAGGAACAGGGCCAGGGTTAAATTCCCATACGTTTATTAAATGGTCAAACAAGGTACTTTCTGACACGGTTGTCTGAAAACCAAAAAAAGAAAATATACAGTATAAGTACAACAAAGTATCAATAAGCAGAACTCTGCTACAAAAATTTAAAAAGATAGAAAGAAATGAAGAGAAAAACAAAGATCCGTGTTCAAGAACAGAACATATTTGACTAATCTAACTGGTTTGTGCGTAAAGAATCTAAAATCTAATCATTCAATCTTCTACTGAAAATGATCGGAACCCATCGGCACTCAAGTAATTATAAAGATTTGATATGAGAACAATTAACGTATTTAGCAATAGCAGCGTTAAACTCAGCTGTTCAAAATCTTCATCTCATATTCCAATGCTCATTTCAGCACATACATTATGGTAGCTAGGTTATAGTAGTTCACTCTGAAGGATTTAATACTCCAGAAGTATCATACCACAGATGGAATGGCCATATCATGCTCAAGCATCACAATTGCATAATGATATGACAAAAATATACTCTAAGCCTAGCCACAGTTGCAGAGAAAAGATACTATCAGAAACTACAAAGGAAAAATCTCCAGCCTTGGCTTGCCTCATCTCTGAACAAAAACAGACTGAGACGTGGGAAATTCATTTAACGAACAAGTCAAGCTTGTGAATTTACAATTTTATTACCTGGCTCATAGATTGATCGTGCTAAAAGAAACGAAGCCAGAGCAATATATAAGTTACATGTAAAAAGTAAAACCCAGAAAAAAAACTCTTCGTTCAGTGAGATATCTAATTTTGTTAATGGGTATTGAATATAAATACATAAACAATATATTTCCTTAAATAACTACCTGAAACTAAGAGCCTAATAATTAATTAAATTACTGTAGACATAAAGCTAATAATCAGGAAAACATGAAACAGATACCTTAACTATTGCCTATTAATTATGAAATAAATATGTCGACGAGGCATCAATAAAGCTAACATTGATCTCAAAAACATTATACGACGTTAGAATACCAAATATTATCATTTATCTTCCAATATATAATAACAGTAATTATGTTGATAAGCTACTGGTCAGGCTACTAATTAACTATCCATTACTAAAATGCAGCTACTTTTGATTAACTCTTAACTTCCCCTTGACAACTCAATTGATAGCAATCAAGTTACAGACAGGGGATCAAACATGCTGCACATACACAATTCTTCTGAATAATTTATTTTTTTTAACATATTATTCTACATATAAAAGTTTGTTTTGCCATCCGGATGCGCCTAAAAAACATAGACCTTCAATTAAAGTATACAGTACAAGGTAGAGGAAGAATAAAGGCAGCTTTGGAGGCGGAGTGAGGAACCTGTTGTGCATTACTAGCAGAAGGGACATGCGCCAACGAACAGCAATCATGAAAGGGAACAGAATATCAAGGGAATGGAAGGATATGTGCAGGGCGGTATCATCTTTCAGGGTGCTTTGGTGTGGATGATTATGGCAAAGGGAAGAGAAGGCATGGGGTAAGTAATTTACCTCTGTATTTATGTTTTCTGCTATTTCCATCCTAATCAGAAAGTGGCTCTCCTGATTTTTCCTACCATGTCTTCAGTAAATCAGTATCTATCACATCCGTTTGAGATTAAGCTCAAAATTCCACTTATTAAGACACAAGTTGAACCTCTGCAACATCTTTTTCAAAATGAGCATGAACCCGTTACTTGACAGCTTGACCAACCACAGAAAAATGTAAAAAGCTATATACAGACATATTTAAATTTGACTTTAACTAGTTTTAAAATGTTCCATTTTTCCTTCCAAATGTCAAATTGATGCTCTACTAAGTCTGTCCCTCACAGTGATGGTCACGGGGGAATTGTATTGTTTATGAGGAACTGTGTAACATCTCACATCAATGACATTGGTGAAGGGGCTCAACTACATCAGTTTGAATTATAACAAGCAAAATTGGTCAGAATGAACTAGAAGGATGCAACTTTTTTTATAATAGTCTTTCTGCATCTGCAATTAAAATAAAAAAACACACGTGGAGTTGGCACCCATTGCGAATAAAAGCCATCAAAATATTCAATTTTCAATTTTCGATCAGCATTAGTGCTTTTAGCACCAAGCTGCAAATTTTCCAGATAAAAGTTATGCCAAAACATTAACAGACATTGGCTTGGATAAGTCTATAGATCTCATTAACTATGAAATTTTAAGCAATGCACTAACAGCCAACAAGAACAAACCAAAAACTATCACAACCATGATACTCTGAAATGCAAGCAAAAGATAACTAAAATACACCGGAGATTATTGAATACCTTTATTCGCTTTGGCCTGTCTACTTGTACATGAGAAACATAACTTTCAACAAGGAATTTAAATCCAATCTCCAACTCGGCATCAAATGATCCGTCTGGATGGTGTCTAATTATGTCTGACCTTTGACACCATGGAACAAAACCGTGATAGAACTCAACAGCTGCAACAACATCAAATAATTGTTCCGGAGAGTACCTAACAATAAATAAATATACCAGTTAACACATAAAAAGAATGACAATGACACACAAGTATAAATATCCCGCATTCAACAATAATTACATGCAAGGCCAAGATAATGACAGATTATTAGGTTAATCCAAATCAACAGTGGTCCCGACCAATCTCTCCTTAACATGTATTCAAGTTTTTCCATTTAGGCAAAGAAATTAACACTTGATTACATGTCATAGGGATAACAGTCTGGGTCACGATGGTCCTGGACTACCTAGTAATTTATCTAGGATAAGATTTTACAGTCTCAAATTTATAAAGCTTCTTTTTAGAATCCAAACACAGAATATTTATCATATAATTTCAGTACTCAAAGAACAAATTTAAAAGCAAGCTTTCAGCCACATTTTAACGTATCCTAACATGATGGAACTAGTCTGACATAAAAAGAAAGAACCTAACTTTCTTTTAAGGATTGAAATGAATCGTACAAGAAGACACCAGTAGAGCTACCCTTAAAAATGTTTACAAAAGCTAACATATTCTGAATCACTGACTGTAGAAAAGTAAAATCGGAAAAATCTACAACCATAGTAACAATAACATGCTCTATTACCCCAAAACGCGTCTCTCCTCGTAAGTTTTGGATAGAATCCCTTCTTCACCATCACCACATCCAAGAAACTGTCTAGTGTGGACAGCATTATAATTGTTATTATTGTTACTATTACTAGATCCTCCTATGATGGAGGAAAAGCCGATGCGAGAGACAGAAGGTTGAATGTGATGGCCGGTAATGGCTGTGATTGATCTGCCCGTGCTCGACCTGATCAATTGACTCGCACCGCTTTTGCGTGATGCTAAGGAGCAAAGGGCTTTCGAGGTCGACAAAAACGGCGGCATAGTAACTCCGAAAAAATTTGGGATACCTAATCTAATTAAACTTGGAATTATGAGAAAAATCAGAACTTTACACCTTCCACGGTTGCAATAAGGATGCAGCCAGGACCACGGCTTAGCTGAAAAATCGATGGAATGAGAACCGCGGATCCAGAATGCGAAACCCTAGAATACCATAAATAGTTGAACAGCAGAATATTCCAATGGGAGGATACGCGATATCCTGAGAAGAAACTCAAACGGAAAGATAGAATGGGATGTGCTTGCGAATTTATTGGGTAGAACAACTACGAATTTGAGGGGAAATTTGGTGATTCTTGTTTATCAAGAAAATATTCAAACATGAAACCACCGCGCCACGTGGTTGATTAGGTCATTTTAGTTTCTTTTTCATTTTTCAATATACTGTCAACCGCCGCACGACGTCGTTTATAGTTGAGTACACACGTGGGCAGCGTCGCTGAAATAGGGAAACCCGTCGTCCCCCTTGCTCGGAGTCTTATGTCATTCGAAAGATGCAAGTTTGTAAAATTCTCCTATATTCGTCTTAAATCACCTTACTCATTAGTGTTAACGGGATGGTTTATACTTTTAATAGTGTTTGATTCACTAAAAATATATCATATTGTATTTTTATATTTTTATACTAAATTCAGTTTAATAGATTGAACTAAAATTAAAAAACAAAATCTCTTAAAGTTTTAATTTCCAAAAACTAATACTAATCTAATTAAAAGTAATGCAAAGTTAAAAAATTAATTTAACATAATTGATAGACGGATCGATAAAAAGTTTATCCAAATTAATTTAAGACTGATAAAAATACATATGTGATTCACTATGTTTATGATAAAAAAATAATGAAAAATAAATATTAAAATAGAATTGAACTTCTCTGTAAATTTTCCAAATCCTTCATTTTCAACAAATTTAAAAGAAGTTCATCCATTAGTATTAACAACTACAACGAAAGTTTTCTCTTCATTGAATTGAACAAATTTCGAATTCTAGATCACCCTTAAATCATTTTCCAATTTTTATGTCATTTGTTTCTTACCAACCTCCCTAATAAGGTTCTCCTATCAACTATTTGCTATTTGAATGTTTAGTTTAAGATAATGGTTTTGTATATGTTACCACTAGCTTTATATAACCTGTTATATTATTTACAAATTATATTATGATGTTGTAATGAACTCAAATCTTATAAAAAATTATTAGTAGGTTTTTGACATGATTTCTATTTTAAAGCTTAATTATTCATATTGTTTCATTTCGGAGTGTATCAATTTTCTTTTTAATTGTGTTAATTTTGTCTCAAAATTCATTAATATGTATAAGTGGTAATTAACCGACTTTATCAACTTTCTTGTCGATAAATGCTGTTTGAGTTCAATAAACATTAGTTAAGCTCAATAAAACAATAAAAAAGAACGTGGTCATCGACTTTTCTCTGGGCTTGTTTTTTTTTTCTTATATTGACACTTCAACTTTGATACGATAATGTTACAACATGCAAACGTAAATACAATGTCATAATTGATTAAAAATTGATTAAAAATGTAACTCATCCAATTTCAAATATGTTATAATCAATTCCAAATGTTTTTTCATATTCTTGAAATCGATTATAGTCTCAATGAAATCAATTCCAACTTCTTTTGACTATGGAATCAATTTAAACTTGTATGATTGATTCCAAAAAATGTTCATCCTTCTTTAATTTCCAACTTGTAAGTCATGATAGATTAAAAAATGTATTTTTGTTGTACTTTGAATAAACAAAAGATAAAAATATATTTTTATACATAATATCCTCAAATTAACACAATTGTTCAAAGATTAAAAAACCACACATCCTTCTATCGCTTTCAAATACATAAATATAATTTTGGTTTTATCCTCAATTTTTCTTTGTTAATATTTATTAACAACTGTTCACCCTAAAAAACACAACATAAAGTTTTATATATTAAAAAACCCAACAAAAAAAATATTCTAAAATTTTGAAGTTTAATGATTTGTGATCTCTTCTTAAATTTTAATTAACACAATTTTATTATATATATCATTATTATATTTGAGGTTTTCCTTAGACGAATCCTTTTCCATAATAATATAATTTATCAGAGATTAATTGAAAAATACGATGATTAAATATGCATTCTAGAAAACAGATAATTACAAAATATTTAAATTACCTACTATTTATATTTGTTAAATTTAATAAATATAAAACACTATATACAAAATTAATTTCTATTTATTTTATTTTTTATCTGTATTCATATGTGACTTTAGAGTACAATATTTTTCATGAAATTATCAGTAATTTATTGCATCTAAAGCAAAATAGTTCTTAATATTGGTTTTAATATCCGCTGAAAAGATAAAAAGTTGTGAAATAATAGATTGAAATGATAACCCGTTGGGGGAAGAAAATGGGTAGAGGAGAGGGAGCTGAAGCTGCTTCTTTATCCTAAACTTGAGTTTCCCGCAGAGCTGAGAGAGCGAGTGATGAATAATAGAATACGATGTTAGTTGGATAATTGGGTGAGCTGAGTGATAAATTCGACTTCAACCATGGCTTTGCCTTCTTTACTACCCAAAACGGCACCGCATCTTCTTCCCCTCACAAACCCCTTCTCTTCCTCTTCCTCTCCCTCTACTCTCATCTTACCTTTCCGCTTCCACTTTTTCTCTCACCTTCCTCCTCTCTCTCTCCTCAAAGCCGCTTCCTCCGCCGGCGATAGTTTGCGCAGCAAGCCCCTCATGTCCCAGAGAAGGGGGATTTTGGAGGAACACGGCAGCCAAGCCTTTGAGGAAGACGACGACGACAAATGGATTGACTGGGAGGACCAGATTTTGGAGGACACCGTTCCTCTCGTTGGTTTCGTCAGGATGATTCTCCATTCTGGACAGTATGTCTCTCTTATGAAACCAATTTCCTCGCTTTACTTTACTTTATGCCTATATTTGCATACTATGACCGTATTATGCAATTGCAGTTGAAACTACTAATATATCAGTTAGTCTAACTCGAATCCAATGCAGATCATATACTAACAGTCTAACTATACCGTTTGAGTGTTTTAATCTCTCCACATCACAATAAACAGTTCAATCATAAGCGAGTACGCTCAAGACCTGCTCTGAAGTTTCATATTGATTCCTCTTATATGATTTTAGAACCATACCTTGAGAAAGAGATGCAAAAATGCGTAAACAAGACATAGGTGGATTTGTTTAAGCAAGTTTGGAGATTCATGTATCATGGGAGTCTTCAATTTCATTCTCCATCTTAATTCCTTGTCACCTCTTGTATTTGAATCTGGGTGTTCAGAGTTCTTAAATAGCTACTATTGTGGTGCTATTGCTTTGTGAGTTTCCCTGGATTCACAATTGTTCACCGTCTTCCATTGTGGCTGCTATGAGTGTCATGGTTGTAGCATGCATCCTCTGGTTATCTCTTTCCGAAAACTAAGTGAGTCTAAGTATACTTTAGATAAAAATGAGTAAGTAGTGCAGCATATAAGGATACATACAAGGATGAAAACCCATAAAGAGGTTTAAGGTTTTGGGTTAAGAATGATATCAATCCCGTTGGATTCATACTTTATTGGTGCTGTGTGTAAATTTCTTTTCTCAATAAATCGCCTATTGAAATTTTTTGAGTTAATATTATGCCAATTTTTATTCATTTTATATTTATTTGCCTACAGCTTAAATTGTGATGTATATATAATTGATATATATATATATATATAGTATATTTAACCTATTATGCGACTTTTTCACTATTTGCTCACAGTGGTATCCACCACTGGATATAACAGTTTATTGACTTTCCACCGTTTTCTGCTATCCACAACTGATGATACTGGGTGTTTGAACTGATGAATCCCATCACTGTATGCATCTAGGGTTATGTCCATAACAATATAACTGGAAACAAGAAAAGCAAGGAGTGAGTACTTTTATACGGGTGCAGGAAATACCCTCTTTGTTGGTAACTGACACCGTCTTGTGTGTCAGGCCTAAATATTGAGATTGATTTTTAAGTGCTCTGCCATTTTAAATGTTGTCTGGGTTTCAAACTCAGAACCTTGGCTATATGAAAAGGGCCAGGGAAGTGGGAATCTTTTTTATCCAAACTTCCAAACCACTTTTGGGCTTTCAGGTGATTTCAATTTCCAGAAATGAAATCCATAGCTGTAATAGCAGTCAAATTGATAAAGACGATTTGGATATAGAAGATGATGATTAATGAAACCTATCTAGGAAACTTGTATTTGACATTTTGTTGGTATTTACTTGTATGTTTAGACACATATGGCTTTTTCTTGCTTTTTTATGAATGTATGAATTTTGAGAAATTTCTATAATTTTTATAATCACGTATATGTATACTATATAACAATTTTCAGAGTTGTTCTTATCCCACCATTTGTTATCTCTCTATAGAGTTTCTGTGGCCAGTTGCTATGCGCTGCTATTTGGGATTTAAAATACTGATGGATCTGCATACATGTTTTGCTTTCATTTATCTTGGAAATTCTGTTGATAGCTTGTTACAAATTCTTGCCTCAGATATACATGTCCTGGTATCGTTTCTCTTGGAATTCTGATAATACCTTGTTGCAAATTCTTGTCATAGATATGAAAGTGGAGATAGACTAAGTGAAGAGCATGAGAAAACCATTATTGAGAAGCTGCTTCCCTTTCATCCAGAATTTGAGCAAAAGATCGGATGTGGAGTTGATTATATCACGGTATCTCTCTATCACATACACTTTTCTTCTTCTTGCTCAACTCGTATTCACACACAATATATGCACTAATCTTGTTTACAAAAGGCCTTCCCAATATTACTTTTCTTTGTTTTTTTTCATTTGGGTCCAATAATGATGAATTTTATAGTTTTAGCAGTCTCTTAGATTAGATATGTGGCCGTGACATAAGGTGTTCGTCCATTAAAAAATTTAAAATGGCTCTGGTTTATGATGGGTGATGATGGAAAGCTAGCTTAACTGTGGTTAGCCGGTTTATGTGAGACGGTGGGGTGCTTTCATTGCATTTGCAGCCTCCATCACCTTCATTGTGTTGGATGTGAGACAGTGTGGTTAGTCCTGTCCTGTGTCGCCTAGTAATGCAGCCTAAGTAGCGATTATAAATTTTGGATAATTTACAACTTATTAGGTAGATTTGGAATTTAGTTTGGTCCTGAGCTCAAATTCCAATAGTGGGGACCCACTAATAGTAGGATCTGTCTCTGACGAAATGCAGGGTGCAATAGTGCAAATTGGTTTATTTCTGGGAAAATGAAGTAATTGGCTTTTGTTAATTCATGGAGTGCTATCTGATTGATTCTGTTTTATGAAAAAATTATGCCACTGATTTGTTCATCATTGGTGATCCACTCTACATTTCACTCGGCAAAATGGTCCCTTGCAATTAGAG